ACCAATGTCTGTATAATGTGCTTTCTAATCATATCAGCACAAGAATTCTGTAAGTAAAATGAAGTTACTTGTTGCTATCACTTAAAGTTGATGGAGCGGTAACTAAAATGATTTCATGTATTAGAATCCCATTGTGCTGCTCAGTCTCAACAGAATTAAGAACAATTCCGTCTGTCTCCGGAAGCTGCAAATGCCAAACACTTCATATCTTCCAGTTGTTGGTGATTAACCATGAGATTGTGTGTATGAAACACAAATGTGTGCACATGATATCCCTGAAAAATATGTCCATGCTTATAAAGAGACTATATGAGCAGGATTCATTAGGTCTATATTAGGACCTAAGAATTCAGTTTTCAGGGATGGAGAGATGATTAAGTGGTGAGGAACACTTCCTGCTCTTGCAGAGGACCCATGTTCAGTTTTTATTACCCATATCAGATATCTCATAATGCCTGTAACTTGACTGCAAGGAGTTCTTCTGCCCTCTTCTGGCCATTGTGGGCACTGCACCCACAGGTGCACAAACCCATATGCATACATTTAAATAAATATGAAGTCCTTAAAATGTGGGATTTTTAGAGGCCCTGTTTTCCCCCTCACTTATTTATAGAGCTCTCTCTGGGTATTTGGTAGCTTTCCAACACTAGACTGTGATTAATATAACAACAATAACAGCAAGCCTGAAATAAATGGGGCTCTTCCCAAAACTATAGAAAAAGAGGGCCAGGTTGAGCAGCACATGCAGACAAGGTGCTTTAGCACAAGAGGGAAGTGTGTGAGCTTAGTCCTTCGTGTCTAGGGAGATTCTACATTCTTTGTTGCCATCCAACAAAGTGTTGTCCAAAGGTTCAGGGGATAAATGCCTGCTGGTGCGGAGCCCTGGACGGAGATGCTCAACAAGGAGAGATAATAAGAGGGTTTTTCTGAGTGAGGAAGAGACATGCAAGGAAACTGAGAACAACAGATGGCCTTATCTGAGGGTTGTGTGTGAATGGAAAGGAGGTGGGATTGCAGAAGATCTGGTCTTAATGAAGCCAGTCTGAAGCTGAGGGGACCCCTGGCCCGCCTGAACACCCCAGCAGTGAGCTGACTTTGTATTGTCTACGTCCTTGGAAACAGAAAGCTCTCACTGTTAAAGTGTCTTAAAAGAAAAGCTGTGTTCTTTTCACTGAGTTGTGAAATACAGGCTGTTACTTTGTCAGTAAAAGATTGCATTGTGCCCATGTATCAGTCTCTCGCTTTGTAATAGTTGATTGTATGTGCAAAATGCGTGCAGGAAGAGAGGAATCCCTCTCTCTCCCATCACACCTGCATCCCTGTGACAGTTTCAAGATCTCATAGAGGTGCTTTATCCATCATCTCTTCAGGCCTTT